AGCTCTTGGAGAGGCTGCCACCGTCGGTCCGGTCCGGTGATCCGACATTAACTTGCATCGATCCGATCCATCCGTATCCATGGCATTCCATGGTGCAGACTGCAGAGCAGAGGCGTCACGTCACGGTAGATGCGTGAAGCATGCATGGTTGCTCAGGCCACGTTTAATTCCAAAAAATTTTGGTTTTTGCCTATCACATCGAATCTTTGACGCATACGTAAAGCATTAAATGTAGACGAAAAAAAAATTAATTACACAGTTGGGTGAGAAATCGTGAGACGAAACTTTCAAAGCTAATTAGTCCATGATTAAAAATTAATTACCAAATACAAACAAAAATACTACGGTTTGCAAATCCAAAAAATTTCGCGAACTATGGCCTCACTTGATTGCTCTTGCTCAACCGGCCTGGTCTTTACTGACCTAACGGCACGGCCTTTACATGCCGTACAGTACGTGTCAATCCGACCTCCATGCATGACTTGATATCAGAGCAGAGAGAGAGAGAGCACTGTGGAAGTGATGAAACAGTAGGTGGGCAGAGGATCGATCGGAACACAAGTGCGTGCTGCGTGGCCAGGCCAGCATGCTTGCATCTATCACTTCCCTCACCTGTAGTACTTTTTTACTTGGATCACCGCTTTCCGCCCCCTCCTCCGCGACGGACCCATGCATGCATCACTAGCTATGCATGCATGCCGACCCCCGGCACCTTGCCTTGCCTGGATCGGTCTATATAACGACCTCCACAGCCACCTAAGCTCTAGCAGACAAACACACACACACGCACGCACACAGCACCTAAGCCCTAGCCACCGAAACCTAGCCGATCGATCGATATGGCTAGCCGCACGTGGCGCAGCACCAGCGCCGCAATGGCATGCTGCAGCCAACAGCTGGTCGTGGTGGTCCTAGTCATCCTGGCGCTAACGCCAGCCGAGGCGAGCAGAGCCATGCCAACGACGACTAAGACGACGGCGACGACGATGGTGGTGGTCAGCGGCGGCACTAGTAACAGCCACCAGCAGAACCATGAGGGACCTGCTGCCGCAGCTGCCGGAGCAGCGGACGTGAACAACGCCGACCAGAAGACCTTCCTGCCGGTGCCGGGCTACGTCGGTGGTGTTGGAGGGTTCGCTGGCGCCGGCGGCCTCGGCGGCGTTGGCGGAACCGTCGGGGGCATCAGCGGCGCGCTCGGAGGCGTTGCCGGTGGCATTGGCGGCGTGACCGGCGTCGGCGGCCTCGGAGGTGTCGGTGGCGGTGGACTCGGAGGGTTTGGACCGCTTGGTGGTGGCGGCGGCGGCCTTGGTGGTATAGGCGGCGGATCAGGTCTCGGCGGCCGCCTGGGAGGAGGTGGCGCCGGCCTTGGCGGTCTGGGTGGTGGATCTGGTCTCGGCGGCGGCGGCGGCCTTGGCGGTGGATCAGGATCAGGTCTGGGCGGCGGCAGCGGCGGTGGAGGTGGCCTTGGCGGTGGCAGTGGGCTTGCTGGTGGCAGCGGTGGTGGTTATCATGGCGGCGGCGGCGGTGGCTGCCTTCACCCGTGAAGCAAGCAGGCGTCAAGCGTACTAGCGTGCATGCATTGCATGCACACACGTGTCTGCTAGATGCATGCAAGCTACTGCTAGCTTGCTGTTGTCAGTCGTGTCCATGCGCGGTTCATCGCTACACACACACACACACACACACACACACACACACACACACACACACACACACATATATATATATATATATATATATATATATATATATATATATATATACGTGGTTAAGTTTGTGTATCATCGTGTTTTTTTCTTCTAATAATTATGGCACCTTGGTTTGTATAATTAATTGCATGCTTGTTGTTAAATAAATCATAATAAGATAAGAATGCAGCTAGCTACATAGTACATGTTCTAGCTCAATCTAAAACTAGTATTAACTATACTGGTTTGAGTAATTATTTTGTTTCTCGCAGCTTGCTTGCTTGCTGCAGTCTGCACTATATATGCACCGCTGCTGAATCACTTTGGCTTCTTCGGTTCTTCCGTGTCATTGGTGGTGGCGTAACTAGCTGTTCGTTCACCCCGGCCCGGTCCGGCCCCTAATTTTCTCGATAAAATTTAGTACTGTATGTGCATGGTGACTTTCCAACCAGTTAATTAACTTCTTGATTGATTCAGAAGCAATAAATAGGATATTATACTCTATCAGGCGATTTGTGAGGAGCTTGTGCTTGCCAGACTTGATCTCTTGACTAGCTAATAGGTCAAAGGACCTACTTCGAATGGGCTTAGGCCCATACAGTGCTCCGGAGTTACGTTCTAAGGGGCTTAGGTCCATATAGCATCTAACGGCCTGGTCCATGTACAAATACAATGTCCCGACCCGAGCCTATTTCGGCAGCAAGAAGAAGCCGCCGCCGCAACCTTCTGCTGCGCATGCAGTGTTTTGCTGAGACCAAAAAAAAAGCACAGCAGCAACAGCAGCTTCTGCTTCTAGCTCAAGCATATAACAGTACTAAGGCTGTGTTTAGTTTCCAAAAAGTGCTACAGTAGCCATCATATCGAATCTTGCGATACGTGCATGGAGCATTAAATGTAGACGAAAAAAAAAACTAATTTCACAGTTTGGTTGGAAATCGCGAGACGAACGTTTTGAGCCTAATTAGTCTATGATTGAACAATAATTGCCAAATAAAAACGAAAATGCTACAGTAGCCAAATTTCTAAATTTCGCGAACTAAACGCAGCCTAATATTATGTGCTGACTTGTTCTCGCTCGCTGTGCGTATCGTATGCTGATAGAACTACTAGAGTCTTCTCTTTCCTCACAAGTCACAATAATATCAAACGCCAGCGCTCACGCCAACACGCCTTGTTCGCTTATGCTGATATTTATGCTGAAATATTGTGTCTATGACCGAAAAATAGTACTGAATAAGGTCAAGCGAATATCAACAACCAAACCAATGCAACGACAATTGTCTGGCCACTGCTTCAAGCAGCCAGAACTGAAGTTCAGGTTTCCCACTGTGGTGACTTTCCATTTCCAACCATGCAAGTTAGCTTTTCTCACCTCCAACTTCTAGGGATGCCTAAAGAGAATACTTAATGTTAATGCAGCGAAACATTTGTACAAAACATCTATCTCGAGCAGGGAACCGTAGACAAACACGTGAAATCATCCAATCCACAAAAATAAATTGATCCATGAATGAATGGTACGGTATCATTGTTTTAGGGATCGTAATACGAGACGACTCGTTACCACAATGCATAGAGGGGAGCGCACCACAAAATCATCTTCATCGTCCCCGTGCATGACTACTTCAAGCTTGCAGAACTTTTCATCAACTAACCAAGAAGCAGTCCGGTTCAGGTTTTCATGTTGATTACCCAAGTCGATCCTGAGTGATTAGTTATTATCAGACATGAGACTTTTTTTGGCGTTGATGGTGCCCAGACGACCGTTCGGAACGGATCCGTCAGACGGTAACTTAGACGCACTACCACCAAACAGCCCAGAACAACATCGTCCACGCGCCGAACGGACTTGCTGGCTTTTCCTTTCTTCCTCTCACACACAACTTCCTTCGGGCACGACCTTGGCTTCAGGCGCCGCATCTGCATAGCACGGAGGTCAGGTCGAGCTCTGCATCGACAGATTCGAGGCTAGGAAAGCTCTCTTCCACTCGAAACATACATTTGCAGCATACGTGTATAGCCATTGCACACATATGCAACATCAAGATATACTTTTCCAACATCCAGATGAAACATTTGCAACATACGTATGAAACAGATGAAATATTTGGAACATACATTTGCAACATGCGTGTATAGCCATTGCACACATATGCAACTTCTAGATCCACTTTTGCAACATCTAGATGAAAAACACTTACAACATGCATATGAAATAGATGAAACATTTGGAACATACGCTTGAAATATTGTATAGCTATTGCAACATCCCAACCTACTTTTAGCAACGTCGATATAAAACATTTGTGACATACATCTGAAACACCTGAAACAAACTCTTGCAACATGCGCTTCTAGCGCAATGTCACCTTGCTGCTTGGACGAATGGATGCTCGTCATTGCGGAGCTCGACGCCAGGGCGGACCTCGCCGATGTGGCAGTGGCGCGTGCAACTCGCCGATGGGGCAGCGTCACACGAACCTCCTCCACTCGCCTGCTTGCTAGAGCATCATTCGTGGAGGCTCGCCGGCTTGGTGGCGCATGCATGGAGCTCGACAGCGCGCCGATGGTTGGTAGCATGCGCAAAGCTCGCCGCCATGACCATCGCAACCTCTGCCTCGTAGTTCCTCATCGAAGTCATCGACGACGGGCTCAGAATGAATGGATAAGAATGATTCGGTGGGAAGCGAGTGGGGATTTCTGTCGCAGGGTAGAGAGATGGAGAGAGCTTAGAGCATGCCCATTACCTATTGGGCCGGACCGCTATGCAGACCCGAGACACGGCGTCCGCCCGTCCGGACGCCTTGCATAGAGCATTACCCTTTTTTTTTCTTTTGGTGGGGGGGGGGACCGAAGAAAAATGCTTATTGCTAGATGCAGTTCTATTTTCATCCACTTGGCAGGGTTTCTAAAGATTTTGGAGAGAATCAGAACCCCACCCATCCAAAAGGCCATATAAATAATAATGTAATAATAGTTGTTGGCGTTTATATTTTCGAAGGTTTGATCAAATCTTGTCCTAAACTACAAGTGTGACGTGAGGAAGTATGATTCCCCATCCATGCATGCCGTGCGTAATAATCTCTACAAAACTTGCTTCTTCGACTGTGGTATGTATAATTAACGTGGTTAACACAATAGTACAAGGTAGAGTGGCACACCTTCACCCAACCTGTACAACGACGACCCAACTGCAAATAAAAAAAAACTTAGATACACCAACTAATAAAACTATAAAAAAAAGGCTGAAGATATGTGAACCAATCGAATATTGGATCGACAGCGAGCAAAAGACCAGCGCCACCACCTAAATCACTTGCCGCATCCGCCATGGCAAATTGAGAGGATTATGATGAGGATCAGCGCGACGATGATGCCGAGAACGATGAGCTTCATCTTCATGTTCTGGTACCACATCTTGCGCCGCAACCGCGCGCCATCCCGCCTGAAATCAGCAGCCTGAAACAACACAGAGGAGCCAATGTTCTGTTTCAGTTCTTCCCTCCTCTTCTGACACCGGCAAGTTCAGATTACTAAGTTGTTACGCTATAAACAGAAACTTGCAACAAACACTGACCCCCTCGTGGAGCTGCTCTGTCCTTGTGACAAGCCCATCGATCTGTATTCCGCGATCAATGGCCTAAAATATTTCAATCAAATTGCTCATTCAGAAATAGTCAAGTCCAAAGCCCAAAGATAACTGAAGAATAAAAGCAGAATTATTGAAGGTTTCAGTCAAGGTAAGCAGATGCATGCAGGAATCCATCATCAGGTCATGCATGCCTGGGAAAACATATACTGATATACGTTGGTTATTACCTTGTCAATGTTTTCCATCATGATGCTTTTCACTTGATCGACCTGAGCCTTCACTTTGGACAGCTTACTCACCTCCTCCGGGTGATCCGTACAGTACTGCATCTGATCTCTAAGCCTCGGCCTGTATTGCCAGTCCCCAAGCATGCACAACACATTGAGGAATAAAAAAAAATGTCTGAAAAAAATCCTTGTTCTTGCAGACGAAGAATGAGAATTGTTACCCGAAATCCCGTGTGAGACTGTTGGCTGTAGCTGTTGCTGCTTTGCCCCCTGCATATTTCTTGTTGAAGTCCTCCTTGATCGTCTCGAGGAAGGCCATAGGAATCTGCCGCCCGGCTGACTCGGTTGCGACAACGCAAAATGCTGCAATTTGATCTCAGTCATTAACCCAGGCGGAGTTGACCAAACAGAAATAATGTTTTTGTTCATCTTCCTATATTATTCCAAAAAAAGAGACATTCCAGCTTCCTACGCTAAATGGTGGTAAGCAATTTTGCACTGAAGACTTGCAGTCATACAGCTCTGCTTTGTTTCAGGTCTCGACAATTTTTTTTTTCTGCTACATATGTTCAGTTTCAGTCTACTAAACAGAAAGTCAATTCTGTGACTCGGGGGATAACTTAGCATGAAGGCAGGGAAGGAATAATCATGTTACTGACAGAAAAGATTTAAAGCTGTGCAATAAAAGGAGCATCAGCATCCTATCTTAGTAAGCAATAATAAGTTTTGGACTGAAGCTTCAATCGAAATGTTGGAAACAAATTATTGATAAGTTGGGAAGAGTTGTATTTTTAGAAAATTCTAACGCATCATGATCACTAAGTCTAACTAACAGGCCAATTCAAAATGTTCTTCTGAGTGCTCTGCTAGAAACTCTGACTGAATCCAACAGGAACAAGTGATTTATTATATATCAGTTATATGTTAAACCAGTAGTCAGTAGAGTTGTTGCGGAAGCACCTCCCAAACGATAAACAACAAGTAGAGCTAAGACAGATGATATCCTAAACACATGTTAGCAGTCGATTTTCATTAGATTTCAGATTCAGAGAAGCAGAAGGAACACAAGCAAGGCAATATTAATTAGGAGTTTATTAGTAGGATAAAGTAACATGGTGAGAGTTCAAAGTAGCATAAAATGAAAAACATGATATTGTACCAAGATTTGAGGCAGAAATTTAGGATTTATGCTTTGCAAGAACACAGAGCAACAGACGCACACGGATGCATCTGGTTGGTGGTGTGGTTGATCGAGCTAAGGTTAGCTGAGTACCGTATCCGTCGCTGACGAGGAAGTTGAAGGTGTGACCGTCGCAGGTGTAGGTAAATCGGTTGTTCCCCGCCGGCAGCTTGTGCAGGCACTGCGCGGCGATGTCCCGGAAGTTGCCCGTGTAGGACGTGTGCTCCGCCACCGCCACCGTGCCCCGCGCCACCATGGCGTAGATGAGCGCCCCAGCAGCAGGTCTCTCCGGAGGCTGCGCCATCGATCCCAGCTGTCGTCGATCGTCGTCTTCTCCGATGGACCAGCAGGTACGCCCCTGACCTGACCTGATGAGAAGGAAGGAAGAAGCAGAGAAGCTGCTGATCTGACGATGACCGATGTCTTTAGCTTAGTGGCCAAGAAAATGGTGGTCTTTACAATGTGCAAGTACCAATTAGTTTAATGAATCCACGCAAGCAAGCGCTGTCTTGGTCGAAAGGAGACACCGCGTTGGAAGAACTCAACCTGTCAAGGGTTCTAGATGGGAACGAACGAGAACAAAGCTCCTCTGCCCGCACGAGTATTACAGCAGATAAGAAAGATCAGAACCGTCCGTCCGTCCGTCCATTGACTAGCTAGCAGTTGCCCTCTTTTTTTTTCTTTTGATTTGGAATTGGATTTTGACGAAGAAGTCGCAATCCCAATTTCCCCCGCGTTGATTACTTCGTTGATTACTCCACCTTGGACGACTTGCCTTGTTGTTGAGGCGGCCGGCAACTAAGGAATTTGTCTCCTGCTCCCTCCTAAAATACAATCTCATCCATACGCATGTAAGTATATCTTTTAATTAAACACTATCCATATACGCTTTTTTTCCTGCCTAAAACTATCCATGTAATTGATACACGATCAAATAGCATGTATGCATATTTTTTAAAACTATGTCTTACTAGAAAATTAAGCAAGTTAACAACCCAACTAGTTAATTAGTGAGAGGCAAAGCCTCTTAACATATACTCCTTATTTGGTTCTAAACTTTGGATGCATATCGAGGGATCTTTGAACGGCTCTGCTCTGGGTCCTCCGTGGCTTTAGGTGAAGCCTGACAAACACCAACACAAGAAACGGCTCCGTGAGTTCTAGGCCTGTTTGGATACTTTGAGAGGGATCAAACAGTTCCAGCTTCTAAGCAGCTTATACAATCTATACATCTTCAGATTCTACAATCTAGCGAGCTGAGGACACCTAGCTTCTATCAGCTTCTGGATTGAACTTAACCAATCTGCCCCTCACTTTTTGGCCCACTCAGTGCAGCCAGCTTTTAGAAGTAAGGGCATTTTGGTAACTACACACTGTAAAGTGCTATAAGCCAGCTTTTAGAAGTTATATAAATCCAAACAACCTCTCATTTCAGCTTTTATAATCCAGCTTATAGGAATCTGACTTTTAGAAGCTAACTTCTGCAATTCATGGGGATCCAAACGCAGCCCTAAGCTGAAGTAGCTGGAGCGGTTTTTAAACTGCAGGGTAAAGTTGCCTGAACGTAGCTTCTCCGTGCGGTTGAGATGCAAAGTCATTTTTGAAAATTTTATATGAAAATGACAAAATTCATGTGCATGTGTACTAGTAGAAGAAAAAAAAAAACAAGAATTTTGTCTTGTTGTGCATGTATAAGTGGAAAACATCTTAGGTGTGTTTAACTTTTTTACTTCAAACGATGTATTTCTAAAATTTTATATAGATTGAACAACGTAAAACTAGTATTACTAGATTTATAACTCTCATAATATATAATTGTTTTTATTCAAGATAATATTTTATACATATTTTTAGTCCATGTGCCATAATGGAAACCGTGTCAATGCCCTAATGGACTTATATTTCCGATTTGAGAAAGTAGTTAACAATTTTGACAACACCAAGAAAGCATATATATTAGTCAAAAGAGAATCAAATCAATACCTCGTTTTCTCAGTGAGAGATCAACATGCAGTATTTTCTCAGCAAGTCCCTGGAACGTGCAGATTTTTCTTTGTTTTGGAATAAAGAAACACGAACTAAATAAATTAGTACCATTCGGCCCTGGTACTAATCAATAGAATGGACCTGCTTATCTGAGAGCCCTGTATATATGGAGTAGTAGACTAGTACCATTTCCGTTCCAAATTGCAAGAAAAAGTTTGAAAAAGCCGTAACGACTCAATTTAGAACAGAGGTTACAGTTTATAACAGAGGGAGTAGTAACTAGATAAGCAGCGAGCTGTCAAGTCAAGCTAGGGCAAGCTTCAATTCCAAATGTTGCTCATCAGATATTCAGATGCCTGCACATAAAACAAAGACAATTCTCTGTCATTCAGAGTTCACACCTGACACTGGATCTGATACTTCAGGCTACCAGTTGCTACCAGAACACTGAACAAATAAGTGGATTTTTCTCGGCAACTCATATCAAGCTTCGCTATCCTTCACAACATGGGCAGCTAAATCTAAGCTAAAATATATTGATCACAGGGTGGCCAGGTTTAGACCTTGACGACAAAGTACATATGGAGTCTCACATGTAATGTGGAGTGGAGATACAACAGGGCTCTACAGACGATTAATGTGGTAGTACAACAGCAACGTAGCACAGGTTATATGGCACCTACTCCAGCTGCCTGGCAAAACGGCGACCAACTACAAGTCAAAACGGACCTATATGTGTCGCTAAAAGCAGCAGCAGTCCATGCATGTGTATCATATATAGCTGAGTCAGAGGCATCCGCTACTTGCACTGCCTTGGGTGGAACTTCTCCTCCGACAGCAACGACGTGATCAGCCGCTGCAGTCGCACAGCTCCACGGCCAGGCTGGAGGAGGCTGGTGTTTGCAATCACCGTGCAAGGGTCGCTCCCGTTCTCCCGCGTTCCAGCACACCAGCCTCCCGGAGTCGGCATGTCCACACCACGGCCCAGGATCTCCTCATCTATCTTGTCCAGCACCGGATCATCCTCGTGGAACTTCCGAGCAAACGGCGCATCACTGGCAACCATGCGGTCTAAGTCTTCGACGTCAGGTAGTGCGGGTGCTGCTTCGGAGGGTTGTCCCATGAGATGTAATGCAGGTCATGGTTCACGGTCGTGTTCTTGAATTCGTCAGCATTGCAGACCACAGTGTGGAAGTATCCTTCAGGCGAGGAGATGAAATTGGAATAGTACATGAGCACTGTGCGAGGTAGGTTATCCCAGCCCCATATGCAGTATTCAACAAAAGGCCTAGACAGTGCCATCCAAGCAGAACCTGCAATGTTATGGGGTCATCAGGTGCCTCTATATCTAAAAGATCCAGAGATTCAAAATCAACACTAATTCCCTAGTAATGGTTCAAACTAATAAAGCTAGCCTCATTCCATAAAAGTTCTCAGAGATATTACTAGTCCTGCTGGTTTTAAAAGCAAGAATAAAGTCCGTATAATTTCCTTGTCAATAGTTATTGAAGAAAGCAATTGTTGCTAAGATTTGCTCCTCAGTAATGATGATTGATGAATGCTCGTTGAAGATGTCATCTCCACATTTTTACATCCTCTGCTTATCTGTTTAAGCTATCTGGACCTAGAGCATTTTTATCTGAGTTGTGGTAAGTGTTTAAGAAATAGGAATCGATTAATTTCCTGCCTAGACAGAAGCCGAAAGTTCCGTTTTTTGTGGGGTGGCTAAGCATGTATAATGGATGTGAAGGGCACTGCATTAAGGAAAAGCTATATTTTTGTTTTATGGCAAGTTCATTGGCACAGCTTCTGAATTTAGTAACTGACATAGATGCCTGGTTATCTGTTTAAGCTGTCTGGACCTAGAGTATTTATGTATGAGCTGTAGTAACTGCTTAAGAAACTGGAATCAATTAATTTCCTGCCTAGACAGAAGCAGAAAGCTCTTTTTTGGGGGTGGCTAAGCATGGATAATGGATATAAAAACTGAGCACCATATTATATTAAGGAAAAACTTGAATTTTGTGGAAAGTTCATTGACACAGTTTCTGAACTTAGTAACTGACACATAAAACAAGGATAACCTTTCAAATTAATGACAGCTAACAAATGCATCGGGTGAGTAATCTACTAGCTTGGAATGCCTTGGTTAGTTTCCAAAACAGGAGGTCATCTTTATATATAAATAAATGTGTTGCCATGCAAATGTTGTCTACTACAGGCAACAAACAAATAGAATCCCAAATGTTTGTTCCAGAAATCAGATCAAACAAAATAAGATTATATAGATGAAAAGGTAACTTAAGCAAGGAGAATTTCAGGCAGCGATATATTACACTGTACAAACGAAGAAGCTAGAAAAATACCACATCTGTATGTAGTATTGTGTAGAAAACCTAAGGTAAACTGCTGACTGAAATTTATTAACATACTAAAAATTAATTTGAGTTGGTGACAACCCAATCCCTGTACCAATTCACACTTCAAAATTTTGAACCGGTCACCACAACTAGAAATATCAAGCTGTGTTTAACATGTGGCAAAGATCCAAGAGTCTGAAGGTTTCAACAACATCACATTCAATTATTAAAAAAAATCATTGAAGACATTCTTGCAAATGTGACAAGGGCAGATAGAAAATGTAGCCAGGTACAACACATTGCAAGATTAAGCTATGAGCTGCTATAGTAATCTGCACAAATGTATGGTAAATTGTACACAATTCTTTGTGTTAAGACTAGGTAGAATGTTAATCTTTAGAGTAGCAGGTCAGATCGGATGGAAACATACCAGTGAAGAGCTTGAATGCTGTAGGGACACTCCGCCTTTGCGGTATCCAGAACACGTCGGCCTTCTTCTTCATGTAGAGCCCTGGATCAATGATGACCGGCTTTGCCCTCTGAAACCTATACGCCATCAGAGACAAGCAAGGTAGAGTAGAAGTTGCCCTGAATCAGCACCCTTCAGTGATGGATGAGTGAAGAAAAACCATGAAGGAAGCACGCACTCCTTCCATCCAATGTCGCTGGTGTGGTCGATGAAGTTGAGATCGCGCGGCAGCTTGGAGAATACATGTATCAGATCTGCACCGGCAAGTTTGGAAGTGAAAAGAAGCCAACCCAAGGCGGGGCTTTTGTAGATTAGAAATGATGACTTGGATGAAGAAGAAGAAAGGAAGTCACTTACCATCCTGCGTGACGAGCGGGTAATCGGAGGCGGAGAGGTTGATGAACCAATCCCAGTGTGAGCCGCCGTCGCCGGCATGGCCCCACAAGAATGCGGCGGCGGCGTGGAGCGTGTTGGCGACCATGGTGGGTCCGCGGTAGGTGACGAGGTTGGCGCGGTCGACAACGCGGACGTTGGCCGCGGCGGCGATGGCCGGGTGGGAGGCGAGGTCGGCGGCGAGGCTCCTACGGTCGGAGTCGGGCGCCTCGGCATCGAGGTGCAGGATGTAGCGGTTCCTGGGGTGGTAGAGCGCGAGGAGGACGCGGCGGAGCGCGGAGGCGTCCCCCGCGGATCCGGAGATGAGGAAGGCGATGCGGGGCGGCGAGGCCGCGGCGGCGGGGGACGGCGGGGTGGGGGCGAGCTTGTGCTCCACGAAGAGCGCCGAGGAGGAGGGCGTGGAGGTGGAGGGGAAGGGCGAGGGGAAGGTGGTGAGGGCGACGAGGAGGAGGAGCGAGAGCGCGGAGCCGACGGCCAGAGGGAGCAGCCAGCGGCGGTCGACGGCGGCGTGGAGGGAGTGCGCGAGGGGCTTCATCGCCGGCGGTGGATGTGGTGGACTGGTGGGGTGGGTGCTTTGCTATCTAGGAGTACTTTGAGCCTCGCCTGCAGGGGTTTGGGTGGTTGACCTGTCCACGTACTTTACTTTGGGAGGAGGCCTCGTCACTCGTCAGTCGTCACCGTCACGTCCTCCCTCCTCCATTCATTGTTTTTTCTTCTTCTTCTTCGTTTGATTGTTTTCGTTTTCATTTTGCCGGAAAATCAGATCTTAGTTTCAAACAAAAAAAAGGAAAATCAGATCTTATTTTGAAATCAACGCTCCTGCCGAACACTATTAACTTAGTTGGAGCAGTTAATGCATTATCTAATATACGGAGTCCTATTACTTAATGCAAATGCTCGGAGGGCGCTTCCGCACTCCCAGTTTTTTTTTTTATAATATGCATGCTATTTATGTTCAAATAAGAAACTTATAGCGAATTGAGCCAGCTCAACTTATTAGACTTTTATATGATGACACCCAAATGGACGGTTCTAAATTTATATCACGTTCATATGGGTAAGTATACGCAGCATTCTATATATAACGAGATTGTGATAAATAATAATGAATAATTACGTAGCATTCTATATATAAAGAGATTGTGATAAATAATAATTAAACCGCTGGAAAAGCATTGGCAACAAATTGTCTGGATATATCCTCCTAAAGCACAAGGGTTTTTGTCACAGGTAGCTAAAGCCAAAGGACATGCGTTACTTGTGACTACATGGAACGTCCTTACGATACTCCCTCCGTATTCAAAATACTAGATGTCTTGGGCCAACAGCTCATTTTCGTATAAGCTGACCTTATGGCCTCTCGATGGAAACATTGGACGCGAATGCCCTTGGCCATGCATGCGCCGCTGCTTCCGTTCCTCGCCCTCGGTACTTGCAGCAGAAGCCCTTGGCCATGCAAAATGAAGGGGGCAACAAAAAAAATATGGCTGCCAGGGTTTAAACCCGAGTCGCAGCACTCATGCCTCCACGCACTAGCCAGTTAGGCTGAGTTACTTTCTCGTAAAGATAGCACCCGCAACCATATTTATTAGGGGCAAAGATGGAAAACTAACCCCTAATTAATCATCCTTGGTTACCGCAATCATGTCCTAAACGTCAGGTTTTTTGGGTACGGAGGGAGTATCTGTGAAGTACTCCTATATAGCATAATACCTTCAGTTCTTCCTTGCTCGAAAAGGAACAAATTCAGTACACGAAACGTCATCATTTACGTATGTATTACCTCTGAACAACTTCCACAAGAAACCTGTGACTACAAACAAATTTGTCCTCATTAGCTAGTGTCCGGTTGCATTAGCATTAGCATTGCCATTTGCCAGCCACCTAATGCATTCTTCACCACCCAAGAGAGAGAGAGAGAAAAAAGGGGGCCCTTCCAGATCGTGCAACGCGGCACAAGTGGAGTGCAGTGCAGCGAAGAAACCGGTCCAAGTGTCGTCATCATCATCTGCTAACTGAAGCCTCATCTCGTATGCATGAAGGCATCAGACACATTGGCAACATGAAGGCCTCTTCCTCCAGCCACGGCCATCAGACGACGATGAGCAAGGTGCGGCAGATGAATGTACATATGCACCAGAGGACCACTCTGTGTGTGATCATGGAATAAAGTGACATGACACATGAACAAAAGTTTCCCCAGCTCCTCTGTTTTCCTTGCAAACAACTGAATATGCAGTAGTATTTACCAAGACCCGGCCTACAGCAAACTTAGGCTAACACTCATATTCTATATGGAGTAACAAACATCAGATCCCTAACTGACTGGCAGTCTTATTGTGATTTCTTCCTGGTAACAAATGCACCATATCAGGACTGGTCATTTCTCGTTGCACATGACGACCGACTCAGCAGCAAGATCCTACCTTACCAACAAACCCAAAACATATATAATGACAGACAACAGATGCATTCCCATCTGATTGTTCAGTCCTGTCATTGGCGCCTTCGACGACGGACCAGGAGGCGCTGCCCCATTGCCCGTCTCAGGTCTCTCTGTCGGGCAAGTATAGCTGCAGAGGCTGGGCCTCACAACTCGGTACACGCCTTTGCTCGCCAACACATAGATGTCCTTGTTGTTGTCCTCACCAAACGAGTATATGTAGCCAAGAGACGGGAGAGGGCTCCCAGCAGCGGTGTCGCAGGGTATTGGAGAGTCCTTGGAGCAGCTGAAGGGGATCAGAGTGGAGGTGTAGTTCCCACTGCTCTCAGGGGTCTCTGTGCCGGTCCACATGGCCGAAGCGTACAGGTCAGCATACAAATACCTGGAAACACATTAATGAGATACATACACCTCATGAGTTGAATTTCAAGAATTGGTCTGTACAAAAGGAGTTCCGGATGAAAGCAATGGACATATTGAGATAGCAGTATGTATTGAGCGAATGATGATGATGATGATGATACCTTCCATACAAGCAGGGGTCAGTGGACCCTCTGTAGACATAACCTCCCATGATTGATGCCGACCCAATATTCTTGTTGACATCGGAATGACTGTATCCCATGATTGGAGGAATGGCATTTATGGAGCTGAGAGAGGTATTTCCTCCAGGTGCCCACTGTGGATGATAAACAAGTGGACCCTCAAGCGCACGCCATCCATAGTTTCCGCCTTTGGAGATCAAATCTACTTCTTCGTATTCATCCTACGCGGTTAACGTCGTCCAAACACAAATGAAGCTGTTTACATACAAATTTAGTTCCACAACAATGACTAGAAAGCAATGAATCCCTGACTCCAAGTCACATAAGGCAAACTAATCAAGCAAGTCAACATTAGTAACTAGCAAATTAAACATGGATTACTGAGGCTCTTGAATGGTACCTGCCCAACATCTCCACAGTAGAAGTAGGAAGGCCTCTCAGAATCAAAGCTGCATCTCCACGGGTTTCTAAGACCCAATGCCCAAATTTCGGGTTCTAACTCGCTATCATCAGAATACGGGTTGTCTTTAGGAATAGAGTAGTTGCCCCACAAACTTGTGTTACTAATTTCACTAGTTCCTGAATGAAAAGAAAAAAAACAAAAATCAGATCATGTTGCGCTCATTCAGAAAAAAAAAATTAATAGTCTATCTGACAACTATATGTTTGGCAGAGGAAACCAGCTAACCCATACTCAACTCATATAGACTAATTTGAATTGCAGACATCAATTTGATAAGTAACAAGTGCTTGCAAGATTCATAGCCGTGGCCCAACAATTAATTTAGCATAAAAATGATAGCTAACAATGCTGCCTGTACGAATGCCTGTTTCATTTTTGAAAGTTTCAGAAATCAGCTCCACCTGCCTTTCTTCATGGAGATTATTATAACAATGTGTTGGTCAATCTGGACAATGCGTAATGATATTATCTTCAGAGGTATTCCACATTCAGTCCAAAGATGCAAGATGGTCTTCAAGAAGGAATTTGCTCTGGTTATCGTTCGAGCAAAAGCAGCTTTTCACCCCGATATAGACTCATGGCTAGAAGCATTTGTGTAATTGCTTTGATTTTCTTCTTATCCTTCTTTGTTTCCTGAACTTCTTCTTAAGGACTGTCACTGTACTGTTTTTATTATTATTAATAAAATTCCAGTAGGGGGTTAAACCCCTCCTGTTTCATTAAAAAAAAAAGATCCCAGTCTCATCTAGTCATCTTCTGGCATCTTTGACTAACATGATAGCTAATAGTACTGCCCATGCGTCCAATAATTTGCTAACTTATTAGTAGCCACCGCGGGCCTAAAAGAGAGAAATCATTGGAATAGTCTAACTCGAAGGTTTTGTTTGGTGGTTAGGACCAGAGTTTAGTACTGATGTGTCCGTTTTGTTTGCTAGTGCTGAGGCCAAAGTCTTCATGTAAAGTAACTAAGATGAAAAGCAAGATCAATTTATGGAGATGAAAACACAGAAATTAAATGGACTACAGGAAAACAATAAAATATAGAAATTTAATTCGAGCAAAGCAACAAACAAATAACAAAGAATTCCAATAATTATCAAGTCAGCAAATGACATAAAGACTCGAAGACTTACTCGGTGTAATGTCAACGTCAAGCCTCATAATTTTGCCCAAAAGTGACTTCTTGTTCTGAGCGAAATTAAAAGGGTCGCCCTTTCCTCCACCATCGCCCGTCATGAGGTAGAGGTACCCATCGGTAGGACCAAAAAGTACCTGTCCTCCATGTTGAGATGTGTAAGGTAGCCCCATTGTGAAAATCCTTCTAACCTCAGACGGATCAGCAGAAGTTGCCTGACAAAGCATTTCAAGAAGAATGTGAGCACTGAACAGATGAAGTTCAGGGAACATCAAGACAGTGATTGGAAGAGTATGTTCAGAGGAGCAAACCTCAGAAACATTTGCTGAGGAGCCTTTGGCGGAATATTCTGATACAACAACTTGATACTGGCACGGTTGAGCACCATTCTCAGTACCAAGCTTCGAAGGATCGCAGCCCACATCAGAATTGCAGGAGCACCTTCCAGTGCAGCTGGGTGACTTTGTCCTATCACAGTTGTAAGAGGCAAAGAAGCGGCCATTGGTAGCAAAATTGGGATGGAATGCCATGCCCATGAGTCCAAACGCCGAATCAAAGTGCACCTGATCAGTCAGATCGACAAATGGGCTTGCTTCTTCGAATTGCAGAGTGCCCCCAGATCCTTGCTCAGGGACAGTGGGCAACCATATCTTCCCAGGTTGGCTGCCAAGGAAGATCCTATTGGAGCCATCCGGGTGAGGAGCCATGTTAAGGTAGGACCCATTATCGATCCTCTCAAGGCATATCCCTTTAGGGGAGGGTGAAGGTTGGGTGGCGCTAAATGAGACCGTGTCACCACTGAAGCATACAGACTGGTCATCAGGCGAACCGCCAAAGGAGCTGCAGAAGTCACTTTGGGACTGCCATGCATCGGTGAGCTTCGACGGTGAACTAGAAGGCGGTGCGGTGCCTTGCAGGGGAGGTTGGAAGGGGGAATTCGTGATGCTGACATCCTTGCAAGTATCCCAAACAAGTATGCAGTAGTCCTGAGTAGTGGTTTCCTTGGACTGAGCAGAAGTTGCCGACGCCGTGGAGTTGCAGAGGAAAGGAATCGTCCGAATCTTTGGCCCGGCATTGAACAAGTCAGCAGAATATGGACTGCGTTTCTGGAAGCAGAGTTGTTGAATTCAGTGTATTGTCATGTAAATAAACTTCCTTTTTTGAGTGAGACATCTAAATTGACATGTAAATTAAATTGCTTTTTCTGAGTGAGACATCTAAATTGACATGTAAATTAAATTGCTTTTTCTGAGTGAGACAGAGATCTCAGTCAGTTCAGAGGGTATTGGTAACCAAATTCAGTCACTTGGAATGATGTTATACTACTACTTAGATAGAATACGCAGAGTACTGTCAAATATGGTTTCTTTTATTATTGTTTGATCTGAATTTGTAGAAATATTTAGACTGGACATTAATTTTACAGCAATCATTGTGACGCTAGCGAACGTTTTTTGTGAAGTGCATCTAGCATTTTTCTGCAGGATTTTTTTTTTACAATGATGCAGGACTCTGTTGATTGTGACTAGTTGAGTATCAGGAAAAGCAAAAGTTTCAATCTTCCTGTACATAAGAACAGTGCAGGTTAAGATAACTGTAAGACTCGCAGCAGAATGGAGCAAATTAGCAAATCCATCTGCACCGAAAGCATCAAACCCAGGCTGACCCCCAAAGCATCAAACCCAGGCAAGCAAATCGTCGAGCAGGTGAGGAGCGGTTTTATATATAAAAAAAATAAAAGAGCAAAGTTTGCGATTTTTTAACACTTTTTTAAACTAATTTTAAATCTAACACTGTTTTATTTTATTTTTCAAAACTAACACTTTTGCCCGCGCCTATTTTCCTGGCGCAGTGAAACGCCTGTGCCGCGCCATACGGATGGCGCAGCGAGAGGGATGGCGTGGCGACGACCGGGGCGCTGACCGGTGACGTGGCAGGGTCTGCCGCGGCGTCATCCCTCACGGCGCGGTAGTCTAAGGTAAATATCGCCCGCGAGCCGCCCTCCCTCTGTCTGCCTTAACGCGGTGGACGACTTCCGCGCCGCGCCTTCCCGCCACTCCCAAGTGCTGTCGGCGCCCGGCCCTCCGTTGCCGCCTCCCTCCCTCCCTTCCCTTCCATTCCCTGTCCGCCTCCCTCCCTCCTCGGTCTCGTTCAAGGTAATGACGCACTTTTTATTTTCGTTTGAACGGTGGATTGAAATATTATGAATGGGAGTAAAGGTTAGGAGGAAAATTATATTTGAGAACTATGGGCTATGGTTTGGAGGAAGATATTAGTTTGATTTTGTCAATGTTAAGGTTAATTATTTAGTTAGAAGTATGTTTACCATGTATATTTTTGTTGCTATAAATGTTGGTTATATTATTCGAGTTGCAATGCAAATGATTATATTTTACATTAATTTACGTTGTTTTGATTGATGTTTAATTTGAACCGTTTTATTAGATGGAAGACATGTTTCGGGAGCAATTGTGGCGAAAACGGGGTTGTCCTAAAGAATTGTACCCCGATGAGTTTAGCAAAGATGCCCCCGTCCCTCCTGATCTCCCTGTCTCTAACTGTGACTGTGGTCGTCCGGCTGACGTGTTTCAATCGAGACATCGGACACAGTGGGTCGTTGCTTCTATACATGCAGTCGTTTTAATGTATGTAATTGTTTCCGTATGTTTTTTTCTTCATTTGTATAATTAGGTTACTAATATTTTGTTGAAATTTTGTTGTGTAAACCCATGAAAGATGCTTTTTCTTTCGGTGGATTGACGGCCCATGCTCCTGCGGTTCTCTTGTTTTTAAATATGCACCAGAGGACCACTCTGTGTGTGATCATGGAATAAAGTGACATGACACATGAACAAAAAGTTTCCCCAGCTCCTCTGTTTTCCTTGCAAACAACTGAATATGTAGTAGTATTTACCAAGACCCGGCCTACAGCAAACTTAGGCTAACACTCATATTCTATATGGAGTAACAAACATCAGATCCCTAACTGACTGGCAGTCTTATTGTGATCTCTTCCTTTTGAACATGATGACTGACTCAGCAGCAGGATCCTATCTTACCAACAAACCAAAAAACACACACACACACACACACACACACACACACACACACACACACACACACACACACACACATATATATATATATATATAATGACAGACAACAGAAGCATTCCCATCTGATTGTTCAGTCCTGTCATTGGCGCCTTCGATGACGGACCAGGAGGCGCTGCCCCATTGCCCGTCTCAGGTCTCTCTGTCGGCCAAGTATAGCTGCAGAGACTGGGCCTCACAACCCGGTACACGCCTTTGCTCGCCAACACATAGATGTCCTTGTCGTCCTCACCAAACGAGTATATGTAGCCAAGCGACGGGAGAGGGCTCCCAGCAGCAGTGTCACAGGGTATCGGAGAGTCCTTGGAGCAGCTGAAGGGGATCAGAGTGAGAGGTGTAGTTCCCACTTCCCACTGCTCTCAGGGGTCTCTGCCGGTCCACATGGCCGAAGCGTACAGGTCAGCATACAAATACCTGAAATAGAACAGATTGGTCTGTACAAAATGAGTTCCGAATGAAGGAACAAAATGGACGTATCGAGATAGCAGTGTTGATCGAATGATGTTGATGATGACACCTTCCATACAAGCAGGGATCAGTGGATCCTCTATAGACATAACCTCCCATGATTGATGCCGACCCAATATTCTTATTGACATCAGAATCAGAATGACTGTATCCCATGATTGGAGGAATGGCGTTTATGGAGCTGAGTGAGGTTCTTTCCTCCAGGTGCCCACTGTGGATGATACACAAGTGGACCCTCGAGCGCACGGCATCCATAGTTTCCGCCTTTGGAGATCAAATCTACTTTTTCATATTCATCCTACACGGTTAAGGTCACCCAAACATAAATGAAGTTGTTTACGTACAAAGTATACATATTTAGTTCGTCAACAATGACTAGAAGCAATTAATCCTTCACTCCAATCAGATAAGGTAAACTAATCAAGCAAGTCAAAATTAGTAACATGGATTACTGAGGCTCTTGAATGGTACCTGCCCAACATCTCATTCAGAAAAAAAAAGTCTATCTGACAGCTATATGTTTGACAGAGGAAACCAGCTAACCCATACTCAGCTCATATAGACTAATTTGAATTGACATCAATTTGATAAGTAACAAGTGCTTGCAAGATTCATAGCCGTGGCCCAACAATTAATTCAGCATAAAAATGATAGCTAACAATGCTGCCTGTACGAAGATCCCGGTCTCATCTAGTCATCTTCTGGCATCTTTGACTAACATGATAACTAATAGTACTGCCAATGCGTCCAATAATTTCCTAACTTATTAGTAGCTACCGCGGGCCCAAAAGAGAGAAATCATTGGAATAGTCTAACTCGAAGGTTTTGTTTGGTGGTTAGGACCAGAGTTTAGTACTGATGCGTCCGTTTTGTTTGCTAGTACTGATGCCAAAGCCTTCATGTAAAATAACTACGATGAAAAGCAAGATCAATTTATGGAGGTGAAAACACAGAAATTAAATGGAAATTTAATTCGAGCAAAGCAACAAACAAATAACAAAAAGAATTCCAATAATTAACAAGTCAGCAAATGACATAGACTCGAAGACTTACTCGGTGTACTGTCAATATCAAGCCTCATAATTTTGCCCAAAAGTGACTTTTTGTTCTGAGCGAAATTAAAAGGGTCGCCCTTTCCTCCACCATCGCCCATCATGAGGTAGAGGTACCCATCGGTAGGACCAAACAGTACCTGTCCTCCATGTTGAGATGTGTAAGGTAGCCCCATTGTGAAAATCCTTCTAACCTCAGACGGATCAGCAGAAGTTGCCTGACAAAGCATTTCAAGAAGAATGTGAGCACTGAACAGATGAAGTTCAGGGAACATCAAGACACTGATTGGAAGAGTATGTTCATGTTAGAAATTTAGGCATTTTCATGTTAAAATTAATCCAGAAAAATAATAACAAATTTATGATGACGAATATGTGCACGTGTGTGATTTTACTACTGCTCAGATTAGTAACAAATATGTTCATAAACAACATACTGATCATAGCGAAAATGAGATTGAATTTAACCAATTTAAGAATAGAGATGTACACTGCGAAGGGACCTATGCTCAAGGCACCGGTGGCTCCAGTACCACTCATGGTGAGTTGCTCGAAGTTGCGGACCACAGTCGGTGCAGAAAGATGTACGCAGTGCAGTCCCTCGAACGTCCACCGGGAAGTAGACGATCCGAGGAAGAAGAAGACATCAGCAGTCATTAGGAAGAAGCGAGCAGTCGCGAAGACGCTCCCAAAAAACCTGATCGCCCGCACACCCAAGCAGAAGTCACAGATGCAGACGACGGTTCCGGAGGCCTGCTCTCCCAACTCTCCGTGCACGCAAAGGATCGGGACGGGGAAACTTAGAAGGCAACGCAGTAGTGAGAAGTGTAAAACACTAATTGACTATCTTAAGATTTTTCAAACTAGGAACTTTCAATGATAGTTCTATTGTTGTTATGTCTTTTCCCAGGAGGATTGATACATACATACATATATATATATATATATATATATATATATATATATATATATATATATATATATATATATATATATATATATATATATGTGGAGGAGAACTCCCTACCAATACCACATCAACTAGCAATATGTTACTAATTGACGTTGCACCTTCCACCTCTACTCATGGACTTAAACAATAAAGGCCATTAAAGAACACATATATTGGGTCTTTGAGATTTATTAGAATTTCTTCATATGGAATTAGGGAATTTTATCCATATAAATTCTAACAATCCCCACCAGATCTCAAAAGCCCAGTATAGATACTTTCTTTCTCCCACTACTGTTTATATATCAGTGTTTTTTTAGCAGAGACTGTTAAGTTGAACATTCACCTAGAGCTTCAAGCTACACCTATCCACAACTTGAACAATGGACTACGCCTTAAATTGCAAGTTTTGTGTGAACGAGTTTCACCTAAACTCTTTACTGATACTAGGTTGCCAAAAGCATCCCCTCTGGTTGGAGCATATAAGTCATACTCCTGGGCCTTTCATGAGTATTTAGAGA